AGGGCTTTTATACTGACCAAAATGCACACTCATTCTGACACAGGTGGCCAGCCTGTGCTGGAAGAAGTGGCCAGCAGTATCTACAAAGGTCTCCAAGGGTTGACAGAAATCTGGACATACTTATATTTACCAACTTCTAGTACATGAGTATCACAGAGAAACTGTATGGGCTCCCCCTGTCAATTGCAAGAAAAAAATCATAACATATACAGCTTGAGCATAAGAGGATTTTAACGCATACGTGGTCACTGTTTGTCAGGCCTCCTTAACTATTTTGAGATCAAGAGCTTCCCACTCTTTAGCCCACTGCTGTGTAGTAAACACAGGATATGCAAAGATGCCCATTGCAGAAAATTCCCCAGTAATGTTCGCATCCTTGGTTACCCATTGTTACAACTGAGCGTCTCCAGGGCCAGTAAGTCTGAGCAGACTGACCCGGGAGACGAAGAGTCAGGGTCTGGAAGCAGAGGATATAAATCTGGATCGGATTCAGGGGATTCGGGGGCTGATCCTGGGCCAAACTCGGGGTCTCCATTGCTCGCAGCTGTGTCTTTCTTATCAGATGTCTCCCGTTCGGTATGTAGCCATCTGCAGACCTGGCTCCTCCGTGACCGAGTTAAAAATTTTTTCACTCTAGGGCATAGTGGGGTGGAGAGGCTCGCAGTTCCTTTAAATCTCCCGCTAGCACATGATCTCTATTTTCTACTGCCGAGGCACCGCCCTCTTTCTTTCGGATTCCTCAACATTTATCATACATATCCCTTCTATTATACTTTCTCTGTCCTTTTTAAAGTCCCTACTTTCGGAACTGGGGTGGTGGGGGAGCAGGGGGTTACACCTCCTCCGCTGCACCTTCTGATGGAGGGGGAGAAAAGGAAGGGGGGTGGGGGGGGGAATTGGAAACCCTGTGCTCCCACGAGTTGGGGGAAACGAGTTGTAATCTTCCCCTGGTTTCAACCGACCGGGGACGTCTGTTCCTAATTACTCCATTGCTACCACGGCAGTTTTCTTTTCTGCCTTGTATCTTTTTATACAGTTTATTACTTCCCTCCATGGTTTACCGAGTTTGCCTTTTTATAATCATTAAGCACTGAGTCAAATAGTTCATCACCAAACTTTCGCCACTCACTCTCCTCAAATATTGTATTAGGATCTGCAAAAAATCCCTTAGCCTTCCCTACAGCCACTAGACCTGCTAGCTGCTTTAGAGTCTCAGGCTCAATTCCCCGCCTTTATAAAAAGCACTGTAATAAGTCCAGGGCTACCTCTCGGTCCATTTTCATGGCCAGCCTTTTCCGGATCGTCTTCTTCTGGGTTGTCCTGTAACCTCGGTCTCCGGATCAGCCTCCCGATGCAGCAGAGTCTGGTTCGCCCCAGTGACCCGGGCCCTGTAGTCCGCGTCCCTGTTTGGGCGCCATTTATAAGCGGCGAGGAGAAGCAGACAGGCCAACCCAATATGGGTGATAAGCAAATTTCTACTTTATTTGTGACACAGTTCACACATACATAGGAGTGGTATTCAGCTACTCCTTCTTGGCACAACAGTATTGGTTAGCCCCCCACAGCTTCCTCCACATTCTCCTCCTAGGTCTGGTCTCCGGCTACCTGTGGGGGCCACCCCCTGCCTTGCTTGCACAGTCCTCCAGAACTCTATGGTCCTGCTCTTAGAGTCATTCTGCAACACCATATCATAACCTAGACGTAAGAAGGAAATAACAGATAACATGATATAAAGAATTGAGCGCCTTCAGAAAATGTAATGCATGTCTCTGCCTTTCTGTAAAATACCACTAGGTGTCCTCTCACAGTAACTTTACTCCTGTAATACGTAGCTGATTGTATTCAGGAATGGGAAAATCTAACAAAATGAAAAAGCCTTGTAAAGTGCATACCCCAGAACTGCTTTTATCTTGGCTTCTGTAAGATTTCTGAAGCTTAGTTTCATTTCTGAAACACTAGAAATATTGGGGTGTTGTCAACTCGTATTTCTGTACAGTATTAATCTGATTTCCAGATCATACTGCTTGGTCTAAAGGTGAAAACAATTTGGGGAAGTAACAAAAAAAATGTTACAGTACAAAACTATTTACATGTCTGTCACCTGGAGGAATACAGATCAGATGATCAGAAAATAACCGATTCCACCTTTGTACTCCTATTAAAAAGCTGAAAGATTACAGTACAAACATTGTAAGGTCTATGGTTAAAAATGCTGGGTTAAGGCCCATGTGACAAGGAACCAATCTCCAGTTGGCATCAATCACTCCATGCAAAGTGGCTTCACATTTTGTGATGTAAGGTACTTCAGACAAGCACAGCATTATTTGTTTAGGCATAACTTGACCTGAAAATATGAGGCATTTCATTAATTCTCTGAAGTGCTATGCCATGTCACTGCTGGTTATTCAGTATTAAGTGATGACACTGAATTGGTGAAAAACAGCAGGTGATTTAAAATCACAGAATCATAGAATCATTTAAGTTGGAAAAAGTCTGTAAGAGCATCAAGTCCAACCATTAGCCAGGGCATCAAGTCCAACCTTCAACTCAAATCCACCAATAAACCATGTCACTGACTGACACATCTACACGTCTTTTAAATACCTGGACTGACTCAATCACTTCCCTGAGTAGATTGTTACAATGTTTGACAACCCTTCTGGTGAAGAAATGTTTCCTAATGTCCAGTCTAAACCTCCCCTGGCCCAGCTTGAGGCCATTTACTCTCTTTGTATCACCAGTGCCTCACTAGTTCCAAGCACAGAGGGATGATCTAAAAGCCGGGTCCTGCACTTGGGCCACAACAACCATATGCAACGCTACAGGCTTGGGAAGAGTGGCTGGAAAGCTGCTCAGTGGAAGAGGACCTGGGGGTGCTGACTGATGGAGCTGAACATGACCCAGCTTGTGCCCAGGCAGCCAAGAAGCCCAATGGCATACTGGCTTATATCAGCACTGGTGTGGCCAGCAGGGCCAGGGCAGTGAGCATCCCCCTGTACTGGGCACTGGTGAGGTTGCACACTGAGTACTCGGACCCGCACTACAGGAGAGACATTGAGGTGCTGGAGCGGGTCCAGGGAAGGACCACAAAGATGGTGAAGGGTCTGGAGCATGAGCCTGATGGGGAGCGGCTGAGGGAACTGGGGATGTTTAGTCTGGAGAAGGTTCAGAGGGGACCTTATCGCTCTCTGCAACTGCCTGAAAGGAGGCTGTGGTGAGGAGGGGGTTGCTCTCTTCTCCTCAGTGACAGAACAAAAGGCCTCAAGCAGAACAAGGTGAGGTTTAGACTCGCTATTAGGAAACATTTCTTCACCAAAAGGGTGCTCAGGCACTGGAAGAGGCTGCCCAAGGCAGTGGTGGAATCACCGTCCCTGAAGTGTTCACAAACCATGTAGATGAGGCCCTCACTGACATGGTTTATTGGTGGCCTTGGCAGTGCTGGGGTAATGGTTGGACCTGATGATGTTAAAGGTCTTTTCAAACCCAGCTGATTCCACGAATCCACCCGAGCGCCATGCTCCGTGGGTTGAGGCAGATGGGCTCTCTCCAGCAGAGGCCTCTCCACCCCAGCGCTGGGTCTCTGCGCCCTCTCGTCAGACCCAGCAGGCTCCGCTGCTCTCCCTCCCCAGACCCAGAGCTTCTCCCCCACCTTCCCCTCCCCACCCGCTTCTGGGGAGGGCCCGTGGCCTCCCCAAGGCCCACACGGGAGGACATCGCTCGCCCCAAGGGAGCACCCCGGCAGGAGGAGGGACCACGGGCAGAGCGGCCTCTGCGGCAGGGCCCTGTCGGGCGAGCGGCTCCCGTCCCGCTCCCGTTACACCCTGCTGTCAATCAGTGGCGCCATCGGCCCCGAGGCGGAGGCCTGGCGGCTCCCCGCGTCGCGCCCCGAAGCAAGAATGCTGGGCCCGGCGCGGCAGAGGGGAGGGCAGAACGCCGCTCGGTCCGTTGGGAGCGGCTTATCCTCAGCCCCCCTGACACGGGGGTGGGGAATTGGCCGGGGTGCTGGTGACGGATGTGTTTCGTGTCGGTTATAGCCGGCGAAACAGACCTCCCCTCTGGCTGAGCACAGGCTACCAGAAGAGCAGAAGTGGCCTGACATCTGAAAATGGTGATAAATCCCTCCCACTCAGAGCATAAGGAATAGGAAAAGACCGGACGAGTTAGCAGGGTGCCAGCCGGCAATTAAAAATAGAGCTTCACAATACTGCATTGCATTTATATGCAGATGACTTTGTTAGGATGTCCCTTTGAAAGGCATCAACTGTGGACCGTAAAATCCTGTTCCAGGGCCTGGGGGTCTTTAAAAGTCTTGTAAAACTGCACCTGCACACGGGTCACCCTGAAACCCCCTCTAAGTAAGGGCAGACTGTCCAAGTCAACTGGGAATGTTGACTGGAAGGGAGCTCGAGGCACACTCCAAGTCTGTTTAGAGAGGAGATGCTTTATTCTGCGCAGGGTGCTCAGTGGTGCATTTCCACAAAGCAAGTACACCCGATGCAATGTGGGCTTCTTCCTTACGTTTATACACACAAGTTGCAAGGCAGTAAACCCCCATTTTTGCAGCGATTGGTCAGCAATCTACATTCATGGACTCCTACATTCTCTCATCTGTTAAAGACACAGTGTAGATTTATTTCACCACGCATGTTCCGTGAGTTGTGGGCAAGGGTCTCTAACCGTCCTGAGCCCCCACGTCACCGAGGTGGGCCTTGGTGCTGCCAACAGATGTGCTTCGTGGAGGTTACCGGCCCCCAGATACTTGTTTCTTGTGGCATTGTGTATACCCCCAGGCGATCTGCTGTTCCTACCATGAAGAACCTTTCTTACCAGCTGTGCCAGGGAGGAGGGTGAAGCACAGGTCCTGGTTCCAAACGGTAACTATCCAACTGTCGACATCATAATGCACTCGGGGGGGTGGGCGTCGGGGGTTGCTATGTATGAGCCCTTGTAATCTCAGCCCCTGTGATCCCTCAGCTCAGTTGTCCTGCATGCACACTACAATGGCAGCTCTCCACATTCTCCTGCTGCTGCTCTGCTGCAGGGCTCGAGGCTCAGGGCCTTCCTCTCTCTGCCTCCGCCTTAATAATTGCATTCGCAATGGCTCTGCATCCTGCAGTTTGGATTCATGGGAAGGACCAAAGGGAATCACGTTTCCTTGGTTCTGCACTGAAGACGTGCCAGACTACGGGAACACCAAAGTCAGCTTGGGAGAGACATGTCATCCGGCCAGTGCATTTTGTGAAAGCAGTGTGACACAAGCTTGCACGAGTGGAGGATCTACTTTTGAAGTCGACAGAAACATCAAGAGCATATACATCCAGCTCCTGACTGATGCTCATCCCATAGCGTCGTTTGCTGCTTCTCACAATACGTCGATGGTCGCAAGCAAAACTGAGACAGCCAGCGCCGACTTTAACATCAAGGTGTTCTATATTATGTGTCTCCCAGAGTCACTGCTGACAGCCGCAGCTCAAGGAATAGGAACCAGCACTCAGAACACCTCTGTTGTCTTGCCAACACCCGCTGTCACAAGGTATCGAAGCCAGCCACTGGTGACCATATACGTTTCTAGTGACCAGTGCTCATTTTTGGAAGGGGTTCGAAGTCTGTGGAGAGAAGACACGTGCAGGCTTGGCTCCATGGCCAACTGGCAGAAGATACACGGTGTCTGCAGCATGAAGCGGAATCTCAGAAGCCTGTCAGTCCACGCGGAATCAAACGCATCCACGTTTGACATCAGGTTCCTGGCAGCCAAAGCAGTTGTTATCCCCAACTCAGTAGACTGGGGAAAAGCCCTGATGGCAGACGTCCCTGAAAACCCAGTGATGCTCTTAGCAGTGCTCTTTATTTTTGCCATCTACTTTCTTTTGTCCCTCTGGGCCATGAGAAAGGACAAGGCTGAAAGCCACAGCAAAAACAAGATTCTAGTTCTGCCGGACAACAACCCCTTTGACAAAGCGAGCTTTTTGGTCACTTTATACACAGGCAGCCGCTGGGGAGCTGGAACCACAGCCGACGTCTTTCTTCAGCTCATCGGCCAGAATGGCATGAGTGACGTCCACTGTTTGCGGCAGCGACATTTTCCATCGTTCCAAAAAGGGAGCACGGACTGCTTTCTGTTAACTGCTAAAGAAGACTTGGGAGATGTTTGTTCCCTCAGGGTCTGGCACAATAACAAGGGCCCATCTCCAAGCTGGTTCTTAAGCAGAGCCAAAGTTGAGAATATGTCCACTAGGAAGACCTGGTTCTTTATGTGCAGGAAATGGCTTGCACTCGACAAGGGTGGTTGCTTAACAGAAAGGACATTTTCTGTGACAAACCCCAAGACACCGCTGCCCAGAATCAACTACTTTTTGATGACGCTTGCCAACAGCCTGACAGAGGAACATCTGTGGCTCTCCATTTTTGCTCCCGTTCTCACTGGCACGTTCAGCAGGTTCCAAAGGTCGTCTTTGTGTTTTGCAATGCTGTTCTTGTACCTGCTTGTTGACATCATGCTCTCTAACACTACAAAGACTGAAGAACCTCAAGTCTACTTGAGGTATTTGAGAGCAGTAACACTACAAATCGAATTTGCTTTGCTTACCATACCTGTGGAAATGATGATAATTGCCTTTTTTACGTATTCCAAGAAGGAACCTCCTCTTCAAGGCGTGGTTCAGCAGGACCCAAAGAGAAACTCGCTCTTCCTGTCTGGAAATCTTAAGAACTGGAAGGAGTGCTTGCAAAAATTGTTCCACTCAGCACAATCGAGGAACATCGGTCCCTTGGAGAACCTTCCTGGTGCCAGCAACGCACAGAGCCCACCACGTTCCAAGAGGACGGGAAGCAAGGGAGCTCCCCAAAACTGGAGGAATTGCACTGTTCCTGAAAGAGATGCAAATGTAATTGGAACGGAAGAGCAGGTGATAACTGCAAGTTCCCCTCCAGCAGCTGAAGCCTGCCAGAGAAGGCCACCGTTACATTACAATTTTAGTGAGAACTATACAAAAGCAGGGAGCAACTCTCAGGAAGAAAGGAAACCACCAGGAACTGACTCTACGCTCCTCTGCAAGACAATGCCCATTGCTTTCCCTTGGTGGTGTGTCTACATCTCGTGGGCACTCGTTACAGCTGTAACTGGGCTATCGTCATTTTTCATTGTGCTATATGGTTTGTCTTACGGCCGTCAGACTTCACTGGAGTGGCTTAGAGCATCTGCAGCCTCCTTTATTGAGAGCGTGTTTCTCCTTCCAATCCTAAAAATCATTTTTTTCTCAGCACTGAGGACGATTTGCCCAAAACACTGTGAAGACATCCCATGGTTAACTCAGGACAAGTGTTGTGAGTTTACGTTGGCTGGAGAAACAATGAGTACAGATGAGACGAGAGAGGTGCATTTGAAATCGCTGAAGTCAGTCAAAGCCTTGTACAAGCAGTACAAGGCTTTGGAAGCTGGTGAGATTGCAAACATGCTGAAAAGGGTGAAAAATCAAGTCAAGGCATTTATTTTCACCAACAGCTTCATCAGTCACCTTGTCTTTCTAACACTGCTATTAAATTTTGCCTGTTCAGTCAAGAACACCAGCAGTTTCAGCTATGACCGGCTCACCCACCATCAATTCTCTCTGCAACTCTCGGGTGCAGATAAGCAAGAAGATATCTACGTGTGGGTGAAAGACGTGCTCTTGCCCCCGAACCACAATGACATTCAGCAAGCCTTTCTTCCTGAGAGCTGGTCAAAAATCATCGGATTGCCCAGGATGAGCCGAGTGCAGGCTAAAGGGACTGAGAAAAAATGTTTCCATCCTCAGAGCTTTCTAAATAACTCTGTGATCAGGAAAAGACAGTGTCTTCACAAGTACGGCAGCGACATCCCAGAGAAAGTCGACTACGCTGGCACCTGGACAAGAGTTGCCAACCAGCCTGTTTCCAGATTGCCAGCAGTTACAGCGGTTTCACGTACGAGCAAAACAAGACCCTGTGGATGTAGTATTCACACAGAGATCTGCACATGTACGGACCAGCAGGATACACGATTTGCATCTTTCCTCAAGAAGAAAGATCTAATTCAACAACAAGGCTGGACACTCCAGAACACTTCTTATTTCATTTTGAAAACTCTGCAAGTTTCTCAATTTTTAAGGACAGTAGTGCTTATGTTTCAAATAAATGTTCATGAAGAAATTATTTACTTTTAAGACTTTTTTACCATTCATCCTCTTACTAGTGCTTTGGCTTAGATGTGCTCCAGACTGTTCTGCTTCAGTTTCAGTGGCACTTGTCTGTCACGGTGTGGGGGCTGACTCTGGCTGGCAGCTAAGCCCCGCCCCCCCCCTTCCCAACCCCCTCAGCTGCTCGCACACTCTCCTCACAGCAGAATGGGGAGAGAAGTGAAGGGCAAAAGTGGAGGGAAAAAAACACTGTGGGTTGAGGTACTGAGAGTTTAAGAAGCGAAAAGGGGAAAACCCCTAAACCCACAAGCGATGAAAAGCAGTCACTCATCACCGGGAGGCGGATGCCCTGCAAGTCTCTGAGTCAATTACTTTCCAAAAGCTTCCCTCTCTCCAGTTTTCTTGTTAAGCGTGACCTTCTACCTCATGGCTTTACTAACTCCATGCCACTCAGGCCCCATTTGCACAGGAATGGATATCCGTTTCACAGAGGTGATGCATAAGGTGTTAGCTCCAGAATGTGAGCAGGACTCTCACCTCTGCTCTTTGCAGTCTGGTGTTAGCACATCCTCTATTACTCGAGTGGCAGTTCTCCAGGGCTCTGGTTCTCATGAACTTATGATTCTCTCAGAAGGTCTTCAAGAATTCTGTTTACTTCCCCTTGCCTAATTAAACAAAAAACAACAACAAAAGGAGTGATAAATAGCGTTGCATTGGGAATAAAGCACACAAATGACTAATCAGTAACTAGCCCCTGCAGACAGATTTTGGACCCTTGGACTTGAAGATGGTTTAGAGTTTAAAAGAAGGCCTGTCCCGCTTTTGAGGCCCAGAGAATGGTCAGGTGAGTACCTTGGGACCGGTGTGCACTATGAAGAAGACCTGAAGATGTTCAGACACAGGTTTGCTTCCCCAGTGGCAGGCAGGGCTGCAGTGACTCATCCCCATTTTCAGGCCCCAGCATCAGCCTCACTCCACCTGTGTTCAATCACACAGCACATGCAGGATAGCCAGGCCCAGTCAGCATGGGTTCATGAAGGGCATTTCCTGCTTGACCAACCTGATCTCCTTTTATGACGAGTTGACCCACCTGGTTGATGAGGGAAATCTTACAGTCATAGAATAGTTAGGATTGGAAAGGACCTTAAGGTCATCTAGTTCCAACCCGCCTGCCATGGGCAAGGACATCTCATACTAAGTCATGTCACTCAAGACCCCATCCAGCTTGGCCTTGAACACTGCCAGGGATGGAGCATTCACTGCTTCGTTGGGCAACCCATTCCAGTGCCTCACCACCCTCACAGTAAAGAACTTCTTCTTTCTATCTCACCTAAACTTCCATTGTTTAAGTTTGAAGCCATTACCCCTTGTCCTGTCACTACAGTCCCTAATGAAGTGTCCCTCCCCAGCATCCCTATAGGCCCCCTTCAGATACTGGAAGGCTGCTGTGAGGTCTCCACGCAGCCTTCTCTTCTCCAGGCTGAACAGACCCGACTCTCTCGGCCTGTCTTCATACGGAAGTTGCTCCAGCCCCCGATCATCTTCGTGGCCCCCTCCGGACTTGTTCCAGGAGATCTGTGTCCTCCTTCTGTTGAGGATGCCAGAACTGCACACAATACTCCAAGTGACGTCCCCCGAGAGCAGAGTAGAGGGGCAGGATCACCTCTTTCGACCTGCTGGTTACACTCTTTTTGATGCAGCCCAGGATACAGTTGGCCTTGTGGGTTGCAAGCTCACACTGAAGCCAGCTCATGTTCATTTTCTCACCGACCAACACCCCCAAGTCCTTCTCCACAGGGCTGCTCTGAATCTCTTCTCTGCCCAACCTGTTGCTGTGCCTGAGATTGCTCCAAACCAGGTGTAGGACAGAAAAAGCTTGCGTTGCGGGCTGATTCTCCATAGATGACAGCAAGGGAGCTGCTCTGCTACGTACAAAATCCTGACCCACAGTTAGGTCGTCTACGAATGATTTTGCGTTGGGTGCCCCACGATCTTGCCATGCGTGACGGCTGGACAGCTATCGTGAGCCCACTGAGGTTCCAGCCACGCTGCAGTATTGCTACATCTAGGCGGGATTCTGACTTAGAGGCGGTCAGTCATAAGCCCACAGATGGTAGCCTCACGCCAGTGGCTTCTCAGCCAAGTGCACACACCAGGGGCCTGAACCTGTGGTTCCTGTTGTACTGAGGAGCATTACTATTGCAACACATCATCAGTAGGGTAAAACAAACCGGTCTCATGACAGTCTAATCCCAGCTCATGTTCCCTGTTAGTGGGTGAACAATCCAACACTTGGTGAATTCTGCATCACAATGATAGGAAGATCTGACATTGAAGGATCAAAAAGCGATGTCGCTATGAATGCTTGGCCGCCACAAGCCAGTTATCCCTGTGGTAACTTTTCTGTCACTTCCTGCTTTCACAGTCTCTATTCATACTGAAAATTAAGGTCAAGCAAGCTTTTTCCCTTCTGCTCCGTGGGAGGTTTTCGTCCTCCCTGAGCTCACCTTAGAACACTTGTGTTACTCTTTGACAAGTGTACTGCCCCATTCAAACTCTCCACTTGCCGCTGTCCCTGTAGTGGGTTGGGGTTGGAGCCAGAAGTGAGAGCCCCCCTCATGGCCTGCTGTCCCACCTCACCAGGCAAGTGAAAACACCATCAGAGTAGTGGTATTTCACTACTCTGTGGACACTGTCTATTTGGACTTTGGCAAAGCATTTGACACTGTCTCCCACACCATTCTCCTGTAGAAACTAGCTGCTCATGGCCTGGATAGGTGTATTCTTCATGGGGTCAACACTGGCTGGATGGCAGAGCCCAAAGTGTTGTGGTGAATGTTGTCACATCTAGCTGACCGGTCACTAGTAGCGGCCCTCAGGGCTCAGTGTTAGGGCCAGTGTTGTTTAACATCTTCATTGATGATCTGGATGAGGGGATAGAATGCACCCTGAGTAAATCTGTGGACAACAGCAAGTCGGGTGGTGTGTTGATCTGCTGGAAGATAGGAAGGCTCTGCAGAGGGATTTGGACAGGCTGGATTGATGGGCTGTGGCTAATGGTATGAGGTTCAACAAGGCAAAGTGCTGGGTCCTGCACTTGTGTCACTACAACCGCATGCAATGCTACAGGCTTGGGGAAGAGTGGCTGGAAAGCTGCTCATCAAAAAAGGACGTGGAGGCATTGGTCAACAGCCTCCTGAATATGAGCTAACAGTGTGGCCAGATGGCCAAGAAGACCAGTGGCATCCTGGCTTGTATCAGAAATAGTGTGGCCAGCAAGAATGCATCATGGTATGTTAGTCTGACGTTCTCAAATTTTGGATTTCTTTGAAACCTGTTGCAGAATGGCTCTAAGAGCAAGGCCATGGATCCTTAGAGGCCTTGTGCGAGCAAAGCAAGGTGTAGGCCTCACACGTAACTGGAAACCGGATGTGGGAAGAGAATGTGAAGGAAGCTGTGTAGAAGTAACCAATACTGTTGTGACTAGTAGGCGTGGTGAAACACCACGCCGATATAAGCAAACTGCGCCACAAATAAAGTAGAAGCTTGCTTATCACCCATATTGGGTTGGCGTGTCTTGCTTCTCCTCGCCGCTAACAAATGCCGCCCGAACAGGGACCAGGACTACAGGGCCCTGGTCAGCGGGGACCCGGAATACAGGGCCCTGAGTATCAGGGACCCGGAATGGCGAGTGAGCGGCGCCGGCTGCAGTGGCTGGGGAGTGCGGGCAATGCTACTGCGGTGGCGTGATGGACTCGGGTGCTTGGACTGACCGAAAGAAGTAGCCGCTGGGGCGAACCAGACACTGCTGCATCGGGAGGCCGATCCGGAGACCGAGGTTACAGGACGATCCAGAAGAGGATGATCCGGAAAAGGCCGGCCATGAAAATGGACCGACAGGTAGCCCCTGATTTATTACAGTGCTTTTTATAAAAGCAGGGGATTGAGCCTGAGACTCTAAAGCAGCTAGCAGGTCTAGTGGCTGTAGGGAAGGCTAAGGGATTTTTTGTAGATCCTAATGCAGTTTTTGAGGAGAGTGAGTGGCAAAAGTTTGGTGATGAACTATTTGACTCAATGCTTAATGATGATAAAACGGCAAAGAAACTCAGTAAACCACGGAGAGAAGTAATAAACTGTACAAAAAGATACAAAGCAGAAAAGAAAACTGCTGCTGTAGCAACGCAGAAGCTAGGAACAGATGTCCTCGGTCGGTTGAAACCAGGGGAAGATTACAACTCATTTCCCCCAACTCGCGGGGCGCTCCCTGTGCTTGGAGCACAGGGTTTTCCCTCCCCCGTCCTTTTCTCCCCCTCCTTCATCAGAAGGTGCAGCAGAGGAGCTGTAACCCCCTGCTCTCCCACCACCCCAGTTCCGAAAGTAGGGACTTTGAAAAGGACAGAGAAAGTATAATAGAAGGGATACGCATGATGAATGTCGAGGAAGCTGAAAGGAAGAGGGTGGTGCCTCGGTGCCGGATCGATTGGGGTGCCATTTTGAAGCACACAGTAGAAAATAGAGATTATGCGCTAGCAGGAGATTTAAAGGAACTGCGAGCCTTTCCACCCCACTATGCCCTAGAGTGGAAATTTTTAACTCAGTTACGGAGGAGCCAGGTCTGCAGATGGCCACATACCGAACGGGAGACATCTGATAAGAAAGACACAGCTGCGAGCAATGGAGACCCTGAGTTCGGCCCAGGATCAGACCCCGAATCCCCTGAATGTGAGCCAGATTTACATCCTCTGCTTCCAGACTCTGACTCTTCGTCTCCCGGGTCAGTCTGCTCAGACTCACTGGCCCTGGAGACACTCAGCTGCAACAATGGTTAATCAAAGATGCAATCATTACTGGTGAATTTTCTGCAATGGGCATCTCTGCATATCCTGCGTTTACTACACAGCAGTGGGCTAAAGAGTGGGAAGCTCTTGATCTCAAAATACTTAAGGAGGCCTGATAAGCAGTGACCACGTATGGGTTAAAATCCTCTTATACTCCAGCTGTATATGTT